GACTATTCATGCGCGCAATATTCTGTATTCATGTAGCAAAAATGTCTGAAGTTGAAATAAACATATAATGATAAATTAATAAGAATATTAATAATACACAATTTATATAGCTCCAAAATCCCAAAGTTCAATGGCGCTTAGTACAGTATTTATGAAATATATTATTATATTAATATGTGTAAAAAATGTGAATATAGATATTTTTATTAGTATATAAATATATAATAAATATTATGAAGTGTTCAAAATAAGTGAATGTTAAAATGTTCCAAATTACTTTCCTTTCGCAGTGGTTCAGATTGCTCCACAACATATTACCACGTACAGAAAACGCCCTATCGCCATACCCTTTGGTGCTTGATAATAAAACTGTCCAAGGGAAGAATGTTGCCTAGATAACTATATCCGCAATATTCTGTTGAACTAGTATCAAGAGAATATTCTCTTGACTAGTATACATCAAACGTTGAAATAAACAAATAATAATAATGATAATCACTCGTTTTTAGAACACATTATGGATCTGAACGAAAATATGTCGTTGAAAGGTATTTATCATGCGTGATTTATTCCTGCACAAAATCGTGTGACCTTTAGCTTTAAGGTGCGGGCAAGCCTGACCGCGGGTTAGGGTACTGTCTATGTTTTTCTATCCAAAGAAAATCAAATAATATGTTGAACAATTCTAATAATTCGACATTAAATATGAAACAAAACTGAATTAAAAAATTTGATGGCCAAAACATATTTTTCTAAAAACTTCAAGGCTCCGAAAAACCAGTTAATAAAAATTATGAGGAACCCTCCCTTGTTATAGTTTCTTGTCAGTTCCGGACACATGGACAAATAATGAACATTTGGTACGGACTTTTCATAAATTCTTATAAACTTTTAAAGGAACTATTGAAGAATAAAACAATCGAGATATTGTGCTGTTATCATAATGTTGCTTCACGTTTCTTGTACCTGTTTATTCCTCCTCATCATGTTCCACTGGTTCTTTTCCCCTTGTAGGCCTCTCTTCTCTCCAGTCAGCCTCCAAACGGTTCACGTGAATCAAGTATAAAATGCAGACGATCATCTCAATTATCTCGTGCATTCCTTCTAATAAGTCCATGATGTAGGGAAAATGAATTGATTTTGAAAAGAAGTTTAGAGTTAATTGTCAAAACTAAGCTTAAGAATAAAATATAAATCGCTGTCACTACTACATATATATAAGCGCGCGTCTCAACCAATGACTGATTGCCTACGTCCTACGTCACAATATTTTTACTGCTACGTCACAACATTTCTTACTGACTAGAAATAAAAGTAAACTAAAAAGAAACCCCGAGCCGTTATGATTTTTTGCCAAATCTGTTAGACATCGTCGTGTGTTCTCTTGAGATTCGCCTATTATTACAGCGCATGGTAAAAAGATTGGTTACGGACTTCTTAATAAATAAATTCTTCATAATATTTTATTTTTCTTAAAGGAACTATTGAAGAATAAAACAATCGAGATATGGTGCTGTTATCATACTGTTGCTTCAAGTTTCTTGTACCTTTTCATCAGTCTTCCTCCTCATCATGTTCCACGGGTTCTTTTCTCCGTGCAGGCCTCTCTTCTCTTCTTTCAGCCTCTAAACGGTTCACGTGAATCAAGTATAAAATGCAGAAGATCATCTCAATTATCTCGTGCATTCCTTCTACTAAGTCCATGATGTAGGGAAAATGAATTGATTTCGAAAAGAAGTTTGGAAGGTGAATCGTCAAAACTAAGCTTAAGAGTAAAATATAAATCGCTTTCACTACTACATATTTATAAGCGCGCATCTCAACCAATGACTGATTGCCTACGTCCTACGTCACAATATTTTTTCGTTCTTACTGACTAGTAGGAATTACGTCACTTGTTACTGACTGAATTCAACCTGCCTGCCAGTGCCTGCCCAGTGCATGAACGYGCGAATTGAATTGAAATTGAATACTCTAACTTGGTACGCTATTTTACTCCTCGCGATCCATCTTATGTCTTGAATAGAGGAAATGAAAATTTATGCGACCACGTTTTTGAGGCAAGTGAAAATTTTCCAAATTAACGTTTGAAGGGAGTATTTTGATCGCTAAATCATTATTTGCCTTAACTCGATTAATGGTTCTATCTTGTATCTCGTGCGGAATCGAGATGAAAGTGCGGAGAGGATTTGCTTCTTGCACAAACCAACATTCTTGACATAGTTACTGTTCGTTCTGTTCTTGCAGGGGTTTCTCTGGGTTCTCAGGTTTCCCTCCATCCGTACTAACCAACTTCTAAACTCCAATTTGATTGTAGAATGTGTACCACAGAGTTGTTAGCGACTGGTAAAACAAGGACGATTTTTGTAAACTTCTGGAATTTAAAATTGAGTGCCACAGGTAGTAAGGAAAATCTTTCCTCGAATTTAAATATAGAAGT